AGGTTGAAGTCACTTCTTGGCCACAGCCAGCTACCCAGAGGGAGCAAGTAGTTGGACCTGTGGGCTTGGGACCATAGTTGCAGGGACATCAAGCTTAGTTGGTAAAACATACTACCCAAAACATTGTTCCACATCCTACTTTGGTGAATAGTGACTGGAATCTTAAAAGCTTGCAAGCAATCATCTAGATGCAACTATGGGTCTCTCCTCGCCCAGAGCAAACACGAATGAAGAAAACCAAAGGCACATGGAAACAGTTAGTCAAGGGACTGGTACACTGTGTGATCCTCAGCCTGTATGACTATGAGACCAGAACTAGATGGTGCCCAGCTACCACTAACAACCACTTGGAGGGGGAGCTCTGTAGGAGATCCTGGATAGAGTGGGAGAACAATGTGGAACAAAACTCAAAATCATAAAAAAAAAAAAAAAAAGAGGTTTGCTGGTCTGATATAGCCTGATAGAACCACTGAGACTGTGCCCCCTAGCTGCCCTTCACATCTGGAATTGAACCCACTCCTGTGGTTTCCAGCCAAACAAAAGACAGGCATATGAGCTGAACATTTACATTAGCTAGATACACTCCATGGAGAGATCAGTCATGGAAGAATAGAAAGGCTGTGTATGCATAGGGAGACAGCTCAGGAGGGCAGGAGTGCATGGAAGGTAAGGACACAGGGAAGAGGTGACTATGGGAGGAAGTGGGAGGGGAGCTGTTGCATTGTGTGAAATTGTAGTCAATGTCATGAGACAAAGTGTATGTGAGCTGCTGTATGGAAAGTGAATTTGCTCTGTGAACTTCCACAAATCACAATAAAAAGAAAAAAAAAAAAAAGCCTATAGTCACCAAAAGAAAAGAAATAACAAAGATTTGAGCAGAAATAAATACCAAAAACTAAACCAAACTCACTGCCATTGAGTCAATCGTGACTCATAGTGACCCCTCCTTGGGTTTCTGAGGCAGTATCTCTACAGAAGTAGATGGCCCACTCTTCCTTCCAAGGAGTGGCTGGTGAGTTAGAACCGCCAGCCTTCTGGTTAGCTGTTAAATGCCTTAGGCACTACTCCACCAGAGCTCCTAGAAATAAATGAAACAGAAAATAGACAATAGATAAAAGCAACAAGAGTAGAAGTTGTTCTTTGAAAAGATTAATAAAATGACAAACCACTGGCAAACTTAACAAAGAAGGAGAAAATGCAGATAACATGAATAACAAATGAAAGGGGTAATGTCACAACAGAAGCACAGAAATAAAAAGAATAATAAGAGAAAGAACTATACTCCCAACAAATTTGAAAACCTAGAATAAATGGACAGATTTATAGAAACACCTTACTTACCTAAATTAATACAGACTGAGGTAGAAAATTTGAACAGACCCATAACAAAAGAAGAAATTGAACAGGTCATTAAAAAATTACCAACAAGAAGAAAAGATGACTTCACTGGAGAATTCTAGCAATTATTCAGAGCAGAGCTGACACAAATCCTACTTAAACTATTTCAGAACAAAGAAAAGGATGAAATCCTCCCAAATTCATTTTATGAAGCAAGCATAACCCTGATACCAAAACCAGGCAAAGACACCTCTAGAAAGGAAGACTACAGAGCAATATCCCTCATGAATATAGATGCAAAAATCTTCAACAAAATCCTAGCCAATAGACCCAATAATGTTATCAAAAAAATAACTGGGATTCATACAAGGTATGCAAGGATGGTTTACCATTAGAAAATCAATGTAATCCATCACATAAGTGAAATAAAGGAAAAGGATCAAAGGATCATCAATAGATGCAGAAAAGGCATTCTGTAAAATCAACACCCATTCCTGATTAAACTCTCAGCAAAATAGGCATAGAAAGGAAGTTCCTCAACATAATAAAGGGCATATATGCAAAACTAACAGCCAACATTATTCTCAGTGGACAGAGACTGAAACCATTCCCTTGCAATAGAAACCAGAAAAGGATGCCCTCTATCTCCACTAATATTCAACACTGTATTGGAAGTTCTCACCAAGGCGATAAGGCAAGAAAGGGAAATCAAAGACATCCAGATTGGTAAGGAAGAAGTACAACTATCCCTTTCCAGATTACATGAGCCTATACATGGATAATCCAAGAGACTCAGCAGAAAAAACCTACTGGAACTTATTGAAAGATTTAGCATAGTGGTGGGATACAAGATCAACATACAAAAATCAGTTGGATTCCTCTGCAACAGAAGAGATTGCTGAAAAGGAAATAAGGAAGTCAATACCATTTACAATTGCTACCAAAAGATTAAAAAATAAAAATACTTAGGAATAAATCAGAACACAAAAGACCTATACAAAGAAAACTACAACTACAAAACACTACTTCAAGAGACTATAAGAGATCTACCTAGGTGGAAGAACTTACCATGCTCGTGGATAGGAAGATTGAACATTGTGAAAATGTCAGTACTACCCAAAGCAATCTATACATTCAATGCAATCCCAATCCAGACATGGAAGTACCAATCACTAATTTTTTATATTGGAAAGGAAAGAGACTCAGATAAGCAAAGCACTACTGAAGAAGAACAAAGTAGGAGGTATCACACTCCCAGATATCAAAACCTACTATAAAGCCACAGTTGTCAAAACAGCCTGGTATTGATACAATGACAGACACATAGATCAGTAGAATAGAATTCAGAACTCAGAAATAGTGGTCAGCTGACCTTTGACAAAGGGCTGAAATCTATTCAATGGGGGAAGAGACAGTCTCTTTCATAAAGGGTCCTGGCACAACTATATATCCATTTGCAGAAAAATGAAACAAGATCCATACCTCACACCACACACAAAAACTAACGTCAGATGGATCAAAGACGTAAATGTGAAACCTAAAACTATAAAGTTCATCAAAGAAAAAACAGGCAAAGTTAAAACAAAAAACAAAGTCACTGCCATCGAGTTGATTTAGACTCATAGCGACCCCTCCTTGGGTTTCCCAGGTGGTATCTCTACAGAAGAAGATTGCCCAGTCTTCCTTCCAAGGTGTGGGTGGTGGGTTTGAACCACCAGCCTTCTGGTTAGCAGATGCCTTAGACACTATGCCACCAGAGCTACATGCCCATAAACCAAGGAACAGATAAACAAACTGTGGTACATTCACACGATGGAATATTATGCAACCCTAAAGAATAATGTAGAATCTGCAAAACACCACATAATGTGGATGAACTTGGAGGACATTATGCTGAGTCAAATAAGTCAATCACAGAAGGACAAATACTGTATATTGTAGTGGTGTAGTGCCTAAGGCATTTAACTGCTAACCAGAAGGCTGGCAGTTCAAACCCACCAGCCACTCCCCAGAAGGAAGGTTGGATAATCTACTTTGGTAGAGATGCTGCCCAGAAACCCAAGATGGGGTTGCTGTGAGTCGAATTGACTCAATGGCAGTGAGGGGTTTTTTTGTTTGTTTGTTTTTCGGTTTATTGTAAAAAGTCAAGGAAAGGTTTATGGATAGAAGAAAACTTTCTTTGTTGGTTACCAGGGAGGGTAGGGTAGGGGATGAAAAGGTCAGTGGTTCAAACCAACTAGCTATTTCACAGGAGAAAGCTGTGGCAGTCTGCTTCCATGAAGGTTTATAGCCCTGGAAACCCTATGTTGCAATGCTGCTCTATCCTGTAGGGTTGCTGTGAGTCTGAATTGACTTGACAGCAACAAGTTTTGTTTGTTTTTTAATTACCAGTAAATACATAAATATATACTTGTGGCGGTGACGGTCAGAAGAGTGGTTCCTTTACAGGGTAGGTAGGAGGAGGCACAAGGGAGCCTTCTGGAGTGCTGGAGGATATGGGACAATGGAAAGCATAAGAAGGAATGCCAGTAGCACCATTATTTTTAATAGTCCCAACTGGAAATAACCCAAATGACCCTTAACAGTGGACTGGGTTAATAGACTGAATTATGTAATATTCATAAGTGGACTACAGAATACGACAATGAATGAAAAATACCTGTAAGCAATAAGAGGAATAAGTCTTACAAGCGTGATGTTGAATGAAGGAAAAAAGCCATTTAGAAAAGTGTATACTATGCTTCCATTTATATGAAGTTTTAAAATGGGCAAAAGTAAGTTATAGCATTAGAGGTAAATGAGTTAGTTACGTTTTCAGAGGGACTGATTGGAAGAGGGGAAAAGTAGGGGCACTTTGAGCATGGCAATGTTCTTGACTTGTGAGGCAGTGACATCAGCGTTTGCCTTGTGGTTTTCCATTTATGTTCCACAAGCCTGTTATACTTCAACTTAAAAAAAAATAGAAAACAAATACCTGAAAGTTTTTATGGCTACTAAAGAATCTGTCTCTTTGTTTATATTAATTAATTAATTAATTAAATGGGGGAAAAAATCACCTTTTTTCAGCATACTCCTTTTGCATTCTACATAGATTTCCCCCATATTATTTAATGAAATCACAGCATGTTTGTTTTTAGAATATCTTCTTCACTTTGTCTACTGCAAAGTTTAATTTAATTTTTTTTTCTAATGTTTAGAAACTGAAATGTACACAAAATCTACCTTAGCTTCCTGATCCTTTAATCTTGCTGCTTTGGTAGCAATTTATTAATACAGACATGCTTTTAATGTTGAGTTTTGTTTTAGTTCTTTTAAACATATGATATCTTCTGGGAAAATTTAGAGCTCATGATTCCTAATCATGACAGGCAGACTCATTAGTAAAACTCGATTCAGTCCCTATTTAGGTTTGTTACTTACAGCAATTTAGTTATTGATACATGTTTTCTGGTTTGGCAGTCATAATAGTTCTGTTTGTCACACTGAAGATATCTTTGCTGTTTTTAATAAGACTTACATCTACCAATCTTTGCTCCTAATATTCACTGAAAATACTAATTTCTAACTAAAATTTTTGGTAAAATATTCATTGTATCATTTTGTTCAAATAAGAGATTATGTATTACCATACTTGCTAATATGAATTATTTCTCTCTTTTTAGAGAAAATCTCTTCATGAAAACAAATTGAAGAAACTTCAGGAGAAAATAGAAGTTTTGGAGGCAAAGAGAGAAGAACTAGAAACAGAAAACCAGGTGCTAAATAGGTAATGTTTTATATGTATATGTGGTTATTTCAAAGTTATAGAACTTTGTTTCTGAGTAAATACATTTCATGATTTCTTTCAAATTACATATTTGTAAAATTTCTAAAGCTATTTGATAATCCCTAATCTAATATCCTGGGTTTTTTTCTTCTTCTAACTGTATGGTCCTCCCAACCAGAAGGTTTCTTTATGTGCCAAGTGTTTGTTATGGTTGGGAGGAGAGTGTGAGTTCTTCCTGCTGAGACAACAAGACAATTGTAGTTATTGCATGGTTTTTAAAATTTTGGCTACAGCTTTGAATCAAGGACCAGGGTTTGGTTGCCTGGTGTGGAAAATATCATTGGGCTATCCCTTCTGGTTCTGCAGTCATATCCCAGCACAGCTAATAATCAACATTGTTAGCCTTTTTTACATAACGAAAACTTAGCATATTAAGTTGAATTTGTTAAAGTTATATATTTCTAAAGGGGTTGTGAAAATCAGTAGTAGCATTTATAATGCATTTGGTTTAAGTTAATAAAAAATCTTTTCAAATTCAGCTAATTAGTGGTAGCCTTCAGCATTTAGCTATTCAGGTGCTGGACTTTTCTGTTGTGTGAATTGCCTGTATATCAAACAGTGATGTTTTATGATGTATATTGTTGGTTTTGAGTATAATTGCTACCAAATGCCAACAGTTGTTTTTTTTTGAATACCCAAGAAAGCTTCTAGATTGTGAAATTAATGCCAGCTTTACTCTGTTCTGAAACAGGAAATCACCAAATTCATTCTAAAACACAATCAATTTGCTACCTCTTCATTAATTCCAATTGATAATGAAATACCAAATCAAGATTCAGCAGCTGTGGTACACACCATGTAAAACTTTGAGAGGTTTTGTAACTATATTATCAGTGTGATTGCCAGGAAGGTCATGTTACGACCATTAAGAAGATGATTGTGAAGGCCGTATGAATTAGCTTGTTTCTTCAATTCATTTTTCTAAAGTCAGGTAGCTTTCCTTTGGTGATTAGCTACATTTTTAAAACTAGGTTGAGCCATACGAACTTACCTGTATTTGACCATATTTCATGTACAAAAACTACAATTTATTAAGATTCAACATAATATTTTCTGTATTTCCATCTGATTTCTTCTATAAGATTAAAAAAACTCTGTTTTTTTTACAAAAGTCTCTTTTTTAGTTTCAAGATTCATGGGTAGGGAGAGGGCAAATAAAACTTTTAAGTGAGTTGTTAAGTGGCAATGCTAATAATGTTCACATGTGATTGAAATTTAATGTCATCTTTCTGTTTACCACTCCAGATAAACAGAATTTTATCTATCCATTGCATATAGATAAAAATTTTCTAATTTAGAAATTCATTTCTTCTAATTTAAAGTTATGTTCTGTGAACCCTACGGTTCTTCTATAGATTATAACTGTATTAAAGAAGAGTAACAATTTTTTTTTTCCTTTTAAGACAAAATGTTCCATTTGAAGAATATACAAGGATTCAAAAAAGATTAAAGGATATACAAAGAAGACATAATGAATTTAGAAGTTTAATTTTGGTTCCTAATATGCCTCCCACAGCATCTGTTAATCCTGTTAGTTTTCAGTCATCAAACATAGTTCCAGGCATGGAACTATCCTTTCCTCCTCATCTTCAGGTATGGGCGTTTATTTTAGGGAAAAACGTTAGGCAAACATTTCTGTAGGTTCTTTCCTGATAAAATAGAGAGTTAAAACTTCAAATTACGAATATGATCAGTATGCAGAATTAGCTTTAAGAGTGGCATATTCATTTTAAGCTTAGTCAGTTTTAACTTTTCCATCTCATACACCAGAGAAGTTGCCTGAGAAGCAAAGTAGATGTGAATCTACTCCGACTATCCTTTAGTGATGGGGCTATGAGCAAAATCTCCTAATGGGCAGTAGGAGGAAAAAAGGAAACTTGATTGATTGGTTCTAGAATAACCTAATCTTTACTCACTCTTGTAATACTATCATTGAACATTTACTATATGACATGTACTGTAATATGCCTTTTCCATACATAGGATTTTATTTAATCTTAATGAAAAGTGCTTTGAGGCATTATTCCTAATTTACGGATGAGGAAACTGAGTCAGAGAAATAAAGTGACTTGCTTTATTTAAATAAAGTGGGTCATAGCTATTAATGGACCCTTGATAGCACAATGGTTAACCCTTGTCTGCTAACTGAAAGATTGGCGGTTCAAACCCACCCAGTGGCTCTGTGGGAGAAAGAACTGGCAGTATGCTCCTGTAAAGATTATAGCCTAGAAATCCCTATGGAGCAGCTCCACTCTGTCCCATAGGGTCTCTTTGAGATGAAATCAGGTCAACAGCACCCGCACCGAACAACAACAACACAGCTACTACGTAACAGAGTTAAGTTTCAAACTTAAATCTGTATGATTCTAAAACCTGATCTCCTTCTAGTTAGTCTGTTAGTACACTAAAATGTTGAATGAATCCAGTTGATTGTCTGATTTTCAGAAGACAGACTATTAATAAGTAACTGCATTTTATAATATTGTAAGTTGTGAAGATTTTAGTCACTTAGTACTTTGTTTATAGAACACGGCTATTAATCTCGCCATTAGAAAAGCTGCCTGTAAGTAGACCTGAGTTCTGTTTTAGCCTCTTTAGATCACTCCTTGCTGAATTTTATTGCCAGATAAACAAAACAGACTTTGGGATTTTGCTTAAGGCTGGAGCCTGAGGCAGGAGAGAAGTGAGTACTAGTTAGTAGTCTAGCCCGTGCTGCTCTGTTCTTAAACTGCTAAAATGGTCATTGTTTCATTGCCAGATATTACAGGCCAGAGCAAGAGGCCGCTGGAGACTGCTGCCTCAGTTACTTTTCCATAGTTTTTCTAACATTGCTTTTGTTCTGCTTTCCCCACATTTTAAAGGAGGAACAGCATCAAAGGGAACTCTCTCTACTGCGTAAAAGATTAGAAGAACTAGAAACAACACAAAGAAAACAACTAGAGGAACTTGGATCTCCTGGGGAGTGATGTGCTTGGAGAAAAGGCAGATCAAAGGGAATGAAAACATAGTGACTCAGTAAAGTTCCAAGTTTCAACATCTGCGGCATTTAGATATTTTATTACTGTTTGCCAAAACACTTGCGTGTGCCTCGGGAAAAGGTACCAACTACATACTGTCTTTTATGAATTTTGGGATTTTAGGGTACTACTGACAAATGAAGCATTAAAAAAAAAATACATTTCAGTGACATTTACAATATTATTGACAATGTAAAAAAATGAGACTAAAAAAATGGGAATCAAGTTTTTAAATTATTTTATGTATTTTACTTCATTGAATGTTTTATCGCATTTTGCCTAAAATATGCCTGCTGAATCCCTCTCTTCCTCATCTTTGAGATGCTTGGCAGTAACAGGGTCAGCAGATACTTTCTGGTTTACTTAAAAGAGTTATAAACCTCGAGTTCTTGGAAAAAACTGGCAATTTAAAAGCATAAAAAACAAACAAAAATGATCTAAATATATATTCTTTACAAAAGGCTACCTTTTCTAAAACCTGTGTGCACATAATTTATTACAGAGCTTAATAAATATTTTTCTATCTAACTATATTGTCTTGTGTTTAATTTCACTTTGACCATACACATTTAGCAATGTAGTTCTCACTGAGTTTGGCTTTGTTGAGTTAGAATTAATAGAAAATAACAAAGTACAAATAATAATTAAACTGTGGCTGTATAAAAAAGAACCACTGATTGTAAAACTTGAACCCAGCGGGTTTCCTATAGATGTGCTGCTGGTAATTTAACTTTGCTTTCCACTATTTTGGATCTAACCAAGTGTGCCATCATTTATTGTTTTTCCACTGTGCATCTAGCAGAAGCTTTTTATGTAACATCTTTTAGAGGAATTCTGCTGGAATAATTTCATGGCCACAAGGCAGAGTTCAAGCCTGCCAAACTAAGTGGAATGTTCATTATCTCGAAGCCTTCACAGTCAAAAATCCAAGTTTACAGTGGAGACTATGAATGTAATTGAGCAGCCCTTAGCACCAGTTAGCAAGAAACCAGATTGGCTTACTATATAATGTCACTGCTTATTCACATAGAATGTACAGTGACATCATGTTCCTGAAAAATAATTGATTTCCATAGAATGCACCACTTAGAATAAAAAAAGCTATTATAGCCAGAAAATTGAGAGGAAAAAAAAGACAAAAAGAGTCCAAAGTTACATCAAAATGTTTATTTTTGGATATAGACATTTAAAACATTCATCTCCAAGAACAGCTTCAATCAGGTATACAATAAGAAATAGACTTTAATTCCTAATACGGAAAAGGTAACTGAATAATTTTTAAATGCTGCTGTAGACACTAGTGTTAGAAAAAAAAAAAGTTTATAAATGAATTGTTTTGCACCAAAAAATATGCAAAGAAACTAGAAAATAGAAATCGTTTGCCATTTGTTTCTCTGGTTGCTGTTTAATATGGACCCAGTGACTGATTGTCTTCAGCACACATCTGATTTGGCCATTTTCTGCGTTTGGCTAATGTGATCCAAAATGTGGATCTAGATAGTGCTTTTCACTGGAGGATTGACAAACACGCTACATACATTAGTGAATCTTCACGCCACCTCAGTGAGGTAGGATAGACATATTATACAGAAATCGAGGCACAAAGAGGTAAGTGACTTGTCCAAAGTTCCCAACAGCACAGTCCCCAGAAGAGCAGGTAATTCTCCACACAGGACTTGTGTGCCAGAGGGCTGGACAGGGACACCCTCATCTGTAGCATTTAGTAAATACTTAGATAAAGCTGTAGGTGATCCTTTGAGTTTTCTTAGCATTTCTGTACCCTAAAGAAGGGAAAGTCTTTTGGGCAACTCTCCTACCCTTGGCTCTCAACTCTCCTACTAGTGTTCACTTACGAACTCCTTCACAACTTTCAAGACTGTAGCAAACAGCCTTAGATGGGGCCAGTCCTCTCACCTTAACACTTATAAGGAACCTATTTGGTAGTATTTTTGAGGTGTGTCCATTGAACAGACAGTGGTCAAAAGTGACGGGGTTGGGAAGGTGCCTATCAGGGCAGTGACTGCTTTTCTGATCACTTGGTTGAGGTGTCACCTCTGTCTTTACCAAGTATTGAGGAGCAAAAAGAATTTCATTCATCTAAGACAAATTTCATGTTTAACTCCTGATGTTACATACAGTATTGTTAAATGATTTTAAGGACTGTGTGATCAATGTTTTGCTTCCATTTGGAAAAAAAAAAAAAATTATATCCCAGATCAGGAATTTGGAGCACCAAGGGTAAAAGGTGCCACAAGAAAAGCTCGAGAGAGTTGCCAATTATGCTTTTTTACTTCTTCTGGTTTAATAAAGGAAAACACAGTGGTGTTAAAATTGGTCATGAGCAGCAAAAATTCAGGAATAAAAAATCAGCAATAAAAAGACTACAGTATAACTGGAAAGAGAATTCTTTAAAAAGAAAGGCATGAATAAAATGGGTATTTTTATTTCTGTCTCCTGTGAGGAATACTTTCAAAAAGTACATAGTAAGACTAAGATACCAAGTTATATACTAATATTTTCAGGCCGTGGGCCTTAATATATATATAATACTCCAGTGTGAACAGCAATTTCATGAAATGTAAAATGTATTTTTTTTTTAATCACACACAAGTATTTATAACCACAGGGTTCACTTGAAATCTAAAGCAAGGAGACACTAGTCTAGAAATGTAGGGTTGGAAGAGTGAACTACTATTCCACAGATAGTTCTGATCAAAGGTTTTAAACAGTATACATAAACTCCAAATGAGTTTTTTTCTTTTAAACAATACTCAACGTTTGCACTATCAAATACATTTAGTATGAAAAAAAGAAAAGGGAAAAAGACAAGAATATGTCAGAACAAAAATGGGTGAAATGCTCTTGCATTTAAAGAAAGCCCATATACTCTCCTTGCTTTAGAGCTCCTTGGTGAAATGGAGGCGAGTTTGATGGAGTGCAGTTGGTGACCACTGAAAAACACGAGCCCTTTCAACAATGTTGCAACACTGTTAGTTTTTGGTTTAAACACACACACACACTCACGAATGCTAAGTGTACACACTACCAAATTCTGTGGTCAGCTTTTCCAAGAACTACTGGGGAAAGTTTCAATGCTGCAAATCCTCGAGGTTGCCCTAACACCCCCACCTTGTTTCCAAATGACTCATTTCACATTTCGTGTTGAGCACTGGCAGTGTTCCTTTTCTGCAGAGGTGCAGTGTAGTCACAAGTGCTACCTAGCTGTAGTTTTCAAACAAAACCACTTACATTATTGTGCTTAAGTGGAGACTGTAGTTACAATACTGACACTTGCTTACTGGCCCTATATTCTCTGTAAACAAGGAGGCTGTTTGCAACAACCACTTCAGCTCTATTTACAGAAGGGTTCTCACAGGCACAATGTTTGGTCTGCTTTCTAAAAGCTGTGCATGTACCTTGGTCTCTTGACAATGCTCAAAGTGGAACCTATGTGCAAACTTAAAAAATCAACGACACAGAGTAGCTCAAGCTGTGATTGGGCTCCCAAGTCGTCTGAAGAACTTTGCCAGATTAAAAGCCAGGCCCCCGAGCGCTCACATCCACTTGCATTTCTTCTTTTCATCAAATAAGACTTTTACATGCAAGAGTTGTTTCTGAGCTTCTTCCAGCCCTCGTTCTCTTTCTAGTTTATTTAGAATCTGTTGACAATTAGAACAGTTATTTTAGATATTGTCACTTTATCATTAAAGTGGTTTGTTTGGGGTTTTTATTTATTTATTTATTTTTGCATTCCTGATGCTGTGAGCAGTAAAATCTGTATGAAACAGATGCCGACATTTTCTCCAATCATTTGCATACTCACTTTGGAAGTTGTTTTGCTAAGTCATTATCACAGGATCAACACCACTTTGGCTTAAAATAGAAGCTCATGAGAAATACCAACTATTTGCTTACAAATATGGGGCCAGACTTCAAGGCCCTGCTTTATGCATTATGTCACAGCCATTCCAAGCACAGCAAGCATTCCTGGACAGCCAACATGCAAGCAAGTATTTCTCCATCAATGCAGCAGGCAGGGGCATCCTGGTAAGAGACAAATACTTCCCTCCCCTCTTCCCTCCCATCGTGTGCAGTGTAGTCCCTCCTCTTCTTTCCCCTCCCCAGTGCTTCCCTTCTCACCCCTAGCCCCTGGAAAGAGGGATGCTTAACATGTTGAAGGAACTCATTGCCTCTACCCTACCTTAGCGTTTCACTTGATCTTCAAGTAGCAAATGGAATGGGTGAGCTATTCTCACCACTGACATGGATAGCCTGGCCCAGCATGACTGAGTGGGGGGAATCGGAAGGGGGGATTAACATATATTTGGAAACAGCGCATCTGATGAATGTGTCTGTGTGAATTCCCAAAGAAAAAAAAATCCAGATTTAGGAGAATTAATCATAAAGGAGTATGGTTTATTGAAATAGTTTTTAAGTCAGAAATATGTTGTAGTTATTCATATAGCTATTGAATACAGAATCTAGGTGGCTTAACGAGTTTAGCTCTCATTTTAGCAGACAATCCAGGACAAACTGGCCCCATTTAATAGGACCGCTGCTCATCACAGTTATTTTGGGTCAGTGTGGCTGTAGGCCACAGAAACTCAAAGGTAAGTTCAGGCTGGTCCAAAGGTGGGCAGCATGATAAAACTTGGGAGGGGCAGCCACGTGCAGGGTCTGGCTTGGTGCCAGGAACCCCCATCTCAGACAGCCTTCCTGGCCTCCCTCTCTGGTTCGGGATGCCAGAGCTGTCCGGAGACCCATAGAATGCTATATACCCATTCCTTGTGGTTGATTCATAGTTTGGTTTGTTTTTAATTGTTTAAAATCTTACCTCATCAAAATACTTTACGATGTATTTGTAGATTTCTGTCAAGGCCACTTCTTCATTAAATTCATTTTCGTGTTTCTTAAAGAAAGAAAGGCCTATTAAGAAATTCTGAATGTTT